ATCACAAGACCATGCCCAGTGAATCGTCTGCAGGCCTTACGCTGGTCCAGCGGGCGCTTTGGCTCAGAAGGGGGTGGCTTTCCAAGCCAGGGAGCGGGGCGGGGGGCTTGCTCCTTGCTGGGATTCCCAGTGGGGTGTTGTTCTCCACCGCAAAAGCACAAGACCATGCCCAGTGAATCGTCTGCAGGCCTTACGCTGGTCCAGCGGGCGCTTTGGCTCAGAAGGGGGTGGCTTTCCAAGCCAGGGAGCGGGGCGGGGGGCTTGCTCCTTGCTGGGATTCCCAGTGGGGTGTTGTTCTCCACCGCAAAAGCACAAGACCATGCCCAGTGAATCGTCTGCAGGCCTTACGCTGGTCCAGCGGGCGCTTTGGCTCAGAAGGGGGTGGCTTTCCAAGCCAGGGAGCGGGGCGGGGGGCTTGCTCCTTGCTGGGATTCCCAGTGGGGTGTTGTTCTCCACCGCAAAAGGCCCTTTCCCTCGGCTCGTGGGGCGACCTCCCATGCGCCAGTCCCTCGCTCCAGCCTAGAGAGCCCGGCCGGTCTCCCGCTGCACGGGCAGGGAGGGACACGGCCCCCCACCCCGCCGGCTCACCTCTCGCACACGCGGACCGTCCAGGCGGCGATGATCCACAGGGAGATGCTGAAGACCAGCAGCACGGTGCCGGGGCAGATGGTCATGAGGGTCTTCATGACGAAGCGGGTGTTGAAGTTGATCTTGTTGAGGGCGCCGATGCTGCGGGAGGAGGCGTCGGTGAAGAGCTTGCTGTGCAGCAGCATGACCCGCCCGATCAGGTAGAGGCGCAGGAACATGGGGATGGAGAGGATGATGTCCACGTCGGCCTCGGCCACCGAGGGCGTGTAGGTGAAGGCCAGCCGGGCCGTCCAGGTGAAGAGGTACTGGCCCGGGATGGGGTGGACCGCACACACGAGCAGCTCCAGGGTGATGAAGAAGATCCGCTCGTAGGTCATGGCTATTCTCCAGTCGTCCGCCCCGTTGTCCACCATGAAGAGCTGGGCGGGGAGAGGGGTTAGCGGCGGGGAGGGAAAGGGGGCAAGAGGCCCAGCAGCACCTAACAAGGAGGTGGCCTGGGAGCCAGATCTGGCCCACGGACTGCATCTGGACCAGGAGTGGCGAGCCCTTGGCCCTGCCACGGACCCAAGCACCAGAACTGGCTGCCGGCTGCTTCTGGGGCGCAGCTTGGTCTGCGGGGCCAGGAGAGGCAGGAAGCGGCCTTAGCCCCCCCACTGCTCACTGGATCTCCCCGCAGCACCGAAGCCCGGTGTCCCCCCGTGGTTTAAAACCGCTGCGCTGGAGGAAGAGGGTTTGGTGTGAGCTCACGCAACGGGACTCCGAGCTGGTCCCTGTGTGATGTCACATGGGGGTCCCTGTGTGATGTCACAAGGGGGTCCCTGTGTGATGTCACATGGGGGTCCCTGTGTGATGTCACAAGGGGGTCCCTGTGAGCCGGGGGGGCATGGGGAGGGCTGCTCACCTGGATTTCTCGGGCGTGATACATGATGACGAGGCCCATCAGGATCATGGTGGAAAGGCTGATAAGGCATTTCAGTGCAAATGAATACGACGACTCCTAAAAGGGAGACAGAGGAGCAGCGTGGGGCGGGCATTCCCATCAGCCCTGACCCAAGCCACACTGAGACCACCCCAGCAAGGAGCAACCCCCCTGCCCTGCCCCCTGGCTTGGAAAGACACCTCCTTCTGAGCCAAAGCGCCCGCTGGACCAGTGGAAAGGCTGATAAGGCATTTCAGTGCAAATGAATACGACGACTCCTAAAAGGGAGACAGAGGAGCAGCGTGGGGCGGGCATTCCCATCAGCCCTGACCCAAGCCACACTGAGACCACCCCAGCAAGGAGCAACCCCCCTGCCCTGCCCCCTGGCTTGGAAAGACACCTCCTTCTGAGCCAAAGCGCCCGCTGGACCAGCGTTTGGCGACTCACTGGGCACGGTCTTGTCATTACAGGCTGGCAGCCCATTCGACAGGCTCCCGCAAACCTTTACGGACAGGCAGGTGCAGATCAGCTAGGATCAACTTTGGGGCTGGGGAGGCCGGAACTGCACTTCCCCTGGTGCAGGGGGCGGGGCCTGGCTGAAGGGGTGGAGTTGGGGGCGGGGCTGGGGGCTTGTCTCCCCCCGGGCCCGCCTTCACCCGC